GAGGAGTGGTTGAGGGAAGGAGGGAAGAACTTTGTCAAGGTCCTTAAAAAATAAATGTTTATATTAAGTGTTTATGTACGCGGAAGTAGCTTGATTCCATAAACGCCTATTTTTTCCAAACAGAATGAGCACATTCTGAAAACGTATATGATGGCTTGCGTATTAGTCCTTTTGAAGAGACGTATTTGTATCTACTACTAAAGTTATTTTCATACAAATATTTTAAATGTGTTATTTTCAAGTGAGTTTACTTGTTTACTTGAAATTTGGAGTTTGATAGATTACACAGATGCCTCACTGGAGTTTTTTTTGCTTATGTTAAGAAAGGAAAAAGGTCTTTCAGACTTTTTTCTTAGGTTTTTCTTATTTGCTTTAATAACTTTATTAAATAGAAGTATATTTAGAGTCTCACAGCAGAAAACAGCATGTAGAATTTATCTAGAAATGAAGAAAGAATGAAAGCAATTGACAAGCAATTCAGTTTTATATTCCTCATTAATTAGCTTTATTTCTAATGCCCTTATCATTGTAATTCAGTGATGCCCCAAGCAGTTGTACTGAATACAACCCTTTCTTCCATCCTCTTTGCAAAAGTAATCTTGGAAGTGGTTAGTTTGGTTCATTTTGGGGTTTTTTTCTTTAATACATGTATTGGATCAATGCTGTGTTAAGATCTCTGAAGAAGAAAGTGAAGGTGAGGGGTAGGGGATATTTATTCACTTATTTTAGCCAAACAATTTTTACAGAACTGGTTTAGGAGATGTGCAATCTTGTCCAAAATTTTGAGCTGTGCTTCTTACCGGGGTCAACCTGCTTGCCCATACCTCTTTGGTGGGAGGGAATATAAATTATGGGAACCCAGCTTCTTTGCATCTGTATCAGCTCCTCAGTGTAACCCATTACTTTTGGAAAGGAAAAAAAGCAGACCCAAATAAACTATGATTTTAAACTAAATAAAGCATTCTAAGAGATTTGACTTCCCTCTTCTCATTCCTACAGTGGCTTTTTGTTGCACGATACAGTGGACATTTCCATACTCAGTTATATTCTTCATGGTTAATTGATTGCAAGGGAAACTTCTAAACAGCCAGTGTGAAAATCAGTGTGAAACTAGAACTAAAATCTGCTTTTATTTTAGTTTTTTAGGACACTATATTGTGAATAGACATTACAGTTGTCTTCTTACAACACTGGCATGTGCACTGTCCTTGTGTGACTAACCCATTTGATCATGGTTTCTGGCATGCTGGAGCCTTGGTTTGTTCTCCTTCACCGCCTCTTCCTCTTCTGTAACCCCTTCTTTTCTTCCTCTAGTACGCATGAATAGTGCACATCAAAAATGCCCTGTGGAAGAGGTATGTCTGACACAACACTATGCGACTCTTGAATCAAGTATGCTTTGCCGATTTCAGCTAATGATTCTGTGATGGCACAGGAACAACATAATTGCCAGCTTTTCCACAATAAGACTCTACCGCTTCCTAAATTGCACTTGCTATGCAAAAATTTGTCCCTCAGATAATTTCCTTTTCTGTCTAAAGAAATCAAAATGAATATAATGTGGCCATTGGAAAACAGTATTTGAATATAAATATGGCAAAAATAGAACAATTAAGAGGTTTGGAAAAAAAAAAAAAGGAAGAAATTTTGCTGACTTTTAATCCACAAGTGATTAAACTTTAGGAAATTTCTAGCTGGGAACATTTAATTTTTTCTTTTTTACATAAAGGAGGATGAAAGAGCTTCTTAGATTTTGTGCCTTAGTACTTTTCCCTTCTCTAAAACAAACAAACAGAGATATTAAAAAAAGACACATCTCAGAAATTAGCCACCAAAAGCAAAGCCAAAGGTGTTTAACATTTCTTTTTGGTTTTTTCATGGATTGTTTTAACTACAGAAAAAGAAGTTTCAACTCTAGGGTCACTACAATGTAGAATGCAGGAACATGTGGTGAGGAAGAAGAAAGGAGACAGGGCAATCTCTCTTGGTGGTAAATTGGACATAGAGTGACTTAAACTGATTATGAAACTGCACTGTAAACCTTTTAAAAACTTCTCATATTTAATACAATATTTTTTTTCAACTTGGCCTCTCTTAAAATCTGGAACTTATGATTTGATGCCATATGTTCTCCATTTCATGGATAGTGGATTGATACGGACTCTGCTGTTATCCTCATCTTAATGCTGCAACAGTATATTTTAGCCTCTTCAAAACTTCTTTTTCTTTTCTTTAAATAGCTTCTCGGACCTCTGGCCATAGCGAACAGCAGAGAGACAGAAGGTATGATGCTATTATTTATATTGCAGTTAGGTGTTACTGTAAAACTTGTTAGATTGTGTCACAGTATTACTTTTAATGGCTTTCTCCTCTAGTTTACTTTTTTTTTCCTTAGTGTGTTTAAAAATAAATCAGACTTAGAATAAAATAAAAATACTGTGAATCTTAAGTACAGGGTAGGTTAAGAGTTTGAGGAGTTTTGTCATCAACTTCTGTATGTCCTCAAAAAAAGAATGCAACCAACCATCAAACCTCTGCAGAACTGTTTTACTTTCCTGACATCTATTTACAGGATCACTTCACAATGAAAATGAGCACACTTTCAGGCCTCCTTCCAGTTTCTCAAAGGGTGTTGAGAAAGGAGGTCACCAACCTGGATAGCTGGTGAACTGAGTCTGCCATTATTTCAGGTGTGAAGGAACTGTAGCCCTCTTTTTTTTAATTCTTTTTACTGCAGTTTTACAAGTTACACTTCTGCAGATTGTTTCTGTCAGCAGACAGAGGTTTCTGTAGCAAGTGCTTCATCTACTCACAAAACTCCCTTCTCAAAGTGTATTCTGTGTGAGACTTTAGATTGATCAGTGGTACTCTGGCGGCCATGGGCCGGGAACATGGGCCATCACTGCAGCTTATGCTCTAAAGCAGTTGTTACAGTGGTAGAAGAGGGGCGGTACCTGTGGGTCCTTAACTGTGTCAGTAGTCCCTATTGTACTAGATGCTGTAAGCAAATAAGTCCTGTCCCAAAGGCCTCATGAGGCTTTCTTTGCCCCACTTTAGCATGGTGGGAGGTTTCCCTAGAGGTCTGAGGATAGACAAGCTTTTATGTAGTCAGCCAGAAGCAGTTTTAACTATCCTACTGTTTTCACATTGTAGCAGGCTAAGGGCAAACACATGATTAGTTCTCATTATCCCGCGAAGACTAAGACTTCTTCTGTCTAATTGAGTTACACTTGTGTTTAAGTACTTTAAGCATGTAAATTATTTCACTGAAGCCAATAAACCTACTTTTTGGCTTAGGCATTTAATTAGGTGCTTTGAATAGAAGCCTAATTGCTTGTTAGAAAGGTCAGGTAAGTTACATTGAAATAATGGGAAAATATCTTTGGTTAAATCAAAAAGACCTGGCCTATTTTGATTTCCCATGCTGAGAAAACCTTGGTCTTTTATACTTAAAAGAAATACTTTAAAATGTTTTAGGTAATTATTCCCCTTTGCCTTAATTTCCAGGCGTCCTGAAATTACAATAGTTGCTGCTGACCCCCTCCGGCCATCCTCCTGGTTTCCAGGTGCAAGCCCTGTCACTCCTCCAGGATTAGGATTTCCTTCTGCTTCATCTCATGCTCAGTGGAGGAGAAATGAGCATCTTCCAGCTGAGGTGAATGTGAATTTATGTGTGTTTGATTTACAAAGGTAAAAAGCACGTTAAATTAGAGAGGAACAGAGCTTTTGCTTGCTTAGACTTTCATCACATTGAATAAAAGACTATGATGGTATTCTTTTCCTCTGCATATGTTAATTTAGTATTTTTAATTTTATATGCTTCCTTTTTTTAATCACATCTGGACGTACATTAATATTTTTCTCTCTGTTTTGTAGCTTCCACCATCATATGAGCAGGTGATAAAAGAAATCAATCAAGTGCAAGTCAATACAACAAATAACAATAATGCTGCTGCTCCTAGACATACCACTACTTCTGCAACACAAACTGACTTTCCAGAGGAACTAATCAGCCATTTGCCAGGAAGTAATGTAAAAACCAGTGTGCCTACACACTGGGAATCTGCAGGCTGTCCAGGTGAGGTAGTTTTGGATTTCTCGCTGGTAAAAACTTTGTTCTGTCTCCTGAAGACATTCTTTATTATTGGTCTGTGCAGCATTTAATATAAGTAACAGTTAAATTTCTGTGCATAATTACTGTTGCAAATTCCTGTAAAAATCCTCTTTTCTGAAGAACTACCATTGCATTCACGGTGAGACTACAATTCAATCTTGAAAGTTTTGCTTAATTCAGCCATAATGGCAATTGCTTTTAGGCCAGAGGAGCTCGGATGTCTGATCAGAATAGCAGCAGTGTTACAGGTTCAGACTGAAAAGTGTGCAAACCAAGCTGGGGAAGGAAGCTACTGTACTATTCTTTGGTCTAGATGTTGCTTGCATACCCCTCATGCTGCAAGCTAACAAGTAGTTTTGATCTCGTGATGTGTAGATACTGTGCATTTCAGCAATCTTCAGCTTTTTCCTAGAGTTCATGTATTTTTTTGATTCATATTTTTAGAAAGAGAACTGCAGTTTCACAAACAGCAGTAAGTTCTGAATGAAAACCATCATGTGTACCATCCTGATGGCTGACAAAAAGATAGCATAAACAAAGTGTTCCAGAATAGGTAACTGAAACTTTTTCTCTTCTGTTAGCAGGGCAGAGTCCTCTTAAACCTCCTAGACCTTCTGCAAGTCTCCTGAATAGGTCTCCTTCAGAAAATGAGAATCCCTTAATAGTCTTTGAAATTTCTGAAGGTCAGAGGTGCCAAGAAAATCCCAGTGCTGTGATATGTCCTGTGCCAAAGCCAAGATCAAGGAGCAATCTCAGACCTGTGGTCAAAAATACTGAAAGTAAGATAGACAATGGAGAAGTGAACCAGTCTACCACAAAAAGACAGCAACCTCCAATTCAGCAGTCACCTCTCTTAGATGATAGCTTACTAGACAATCACTTGGTGATGGACAGCATGAGTACAGAAAAGAGCCAAAATAGTATTGTTTCAAGGATCAAAGTTTTTGAATCCCAAGGAAGTAATGATACCTCAGGATTATCAAAAAAGCCAGAAATTGCTCCTCGTTCATTCACCCCAAGACCTGTTACTGCAAAGAAGCCAGCAGTTGCTCCAAAGCCAGGGGTAAGTAGAATTTCAGGAGACTGGGATGCATGGACAGAAAGCAAATCAACACCTTCCAAGGAATTGCAGCCTCAACCTGAAGTAGTGGGAAGCAGTGTTGTAACCAAACCTGAACTGCCAAAGAAGCCAAAACCTGGCCTTGTTAAAAGTAGTAGTAGTGATTTTCTTGATGCAAGGAGTGGATCAGTTGCAGAGAGCAGCAATGGACAAAAGAAATTTCCTGTTCCTGCTCCAAGACCTCTCGTTCCTAAAAAGTCACGTTACGCAGAAAATCCTGCCCTTTCTTTGGCCTCACTAAAACCAATTGCTGCTCCCCCATGGACTTCCGTATCTGCCCAAGAAAAAGTCTTCAAGCCTCTGGGGGAATTGTCACCTGCAACCAACTCCTCAGCACCTGCTTTGCAAAATAAACCAGATGTGGAAGGAGATCTGATCAGTTTTGATGATGATGTTTTGCCCCTAAGTCCAACTGGTGCAGTTAAAGATAACATCAGTTCTGAAGCAGCAGCAGGTAAGAATTTTTTTTTAAACTGTCACTGTAGTTACTCTTTGCAGGTGCATGATCCTGTGTGAGTTATGTCTACCTATCTTGACAGAGTTTATGTGTGTATATGAAATTCTTGGGTTTCCATTATGTCAAGATCACTATGAAATTACTTGGATTTTGAGATTCGTGAGGTTTCAAGGCTATATAAATCTCAGAACTTGCCTGCTGGATTTATTACATGATTACTAAAATAATGATAAAAGACTTGATGTTATATGCTAGATGTCACCTCCAGAATGTATCACAATTCTCTCTGGGGAGCTTGGGACATCTTATCTCTCGCCATCTAATCTAATTTATTTGCATGCCTGAAGTTCTGTAGTGGAAACCTAGGCGTCTAGGCATCTAGAGAAGCAGCAATGTTTGTGGCATTTAGGGAAACTTGTGATCAAACATACTGGGATACTCTGTCCATCTCACCAGTGCCTACTTATTTTCTCTTTTCTATCTTTGTGCCTTGTCTTTTCATTCGACTATATGCCTGTTACACAACTTCAATTTTTTCTAATAAGTGAAAATAATTATTTCATATGGACAGATTAATTACTACAAGTACATCCCTTTCATAAACCACGTTTGATTCCATTAAGCACTTGGGGTTGATTTTTTTTTTTAATGCTGTTTTAGGTAGTTTAAGACACAGGTGGGCGTTGAGCTGTCATTAAATTTTATAGCAATAGGTTTTTCCCTCTTAATATTCAAGTATGTCCTGATTTAGCTTACCAGCCCCATTGCAATCCAGGGAGAGTTCTGCTTTGAAATGGATGGTGTGTCATACAAAATGCTTGTTTAAGAGACTAACTGTGATTTTTTTTTAATCTTTTTTTTTTAACTTCATTTATCGTTAAACATCTCAGACAAGCATAGGTACTGTGTAGTTGTCACAGTAAATCGATATTAATGATTGTTAACAAAGGCAATTTTTGTGGATGTCCTGGTTTTTGGCTAGGATAGTGTTAATTTTCACAAGAAACTGGGACAGGACACGGCCAGGACAGGTGACCCAAACTAGCCCGAGGGGTATTCCATACCATATGACATCATGCTCAGCATAAAAGGGGACTAACGGGCTGGGTGTCCATGGGGTCATTGGGTGAGTAAATGGCATTATGTATCACCTACTTTGTACATTCTAAGTACTGTTGTTGTTATTTTCCTCTCTCTTTGCTGTCCCAGTAAACTGTCCTTATCCCATCTCAGGAGGTTTACCTGTGTCTTTCCATTCTCCTCCCATGCCACCGCGGGGGAATTGAGTGAGTCACCACATGGTGCTCAGCTGCCGGCTGGGGCTAAACCACCACAGTGGATTCTATAGTTAGATGAAGGGCCGATTTGTTACTGTTTCTGCTCTGTATTGGCATAAAAACCCCAAGGCAGATGCAGAAAGTCCCTTAAAGACCTAAACTGTTAAGATTGATATGTACAGACATACAGATCTCAGGGGAGCTTATGAAAGCAGTGAAATAAGGCAACAGAAGATCCTGCAGGAGAAGTGATTAGCTCAACATGGATACAAGTCCATTTTATCTTGGACTGACTGATTCCAGAAGCACTGCAGAAGCTGTATCAAGCCTGGCAGGAGTACAGGGTGACTGGAGAGGCGTTTCGTGCTTATGTCAGGGAAGTGTATAACTGACAGTGTCTAGCTGGGAACAGAGCCATGATCATCATGTCTGGAGACTGGAGTCATGGAACAGCCACTGTGCCTGTGATGGTTTTAGAAGAAAGTTAGAAGTGCGAGGGATGACTCTTGTTTTCTGTGCATTTAGGGTAAAACTTGAAGTTTCAGTCATTTTATTTTGATTAGTAGATGGAACTGAGGGAAAATGTAGCTGTACTAAGCAGTAGGCAAGAAAAGAGAATACCTATATTTTGAAAGTGCATAAAAAGAAAAATTGTTTTGGCTATGTTCACTAAAAGACTGCCTTTTTCCCAACCAGGAAAAATTAAATAACATTAATTGTTCTGTTAAATCACCTGAAAAAAAACAGCTTTCGTGATCAAGTAGTAAGAATGTCAGTCTTGCTGGTTGGTGCCCTAGGTGTTAATCTTGATTTAATTAGGAAGATAATACTTTCCATTCTCATGGTTAACAGAAGAATTATTCACGTAATAGTTTCTTGACTTCTTCTTGAGTCACCTGTCCGTAATTTTATTCATTCAATAAAATGGCATCTTTGCTGAAACCCCTTCTTACATACTAAAGAGAAAAAGGTCTGACAGCATTATCACTTTATTACACTGTAAAATTAGGATTCGTTCCAGATTTTTGCAGGCATTTGTGAGCTCAAGATCACATCCTATACCCTTGATTACTAATGCTGTGCTATGTCTTGACAAAGCATCCACAAGAAGAACACTGGCTTTCTGAAAAATGAGGCAACACAGACCACTAACACTAGCTATTTCTCATGTTCCCATAGGAACAGTTTAGGATTTACAAGATGAATCCACAGTAAAATGTTTTGTAAAGACAGGAAGAGAAGCTCTAATCTGGCTCCCAGTTCCCCAGACCTTTGCATTTCTTAAATATTTGTCATTGCTTAGCAAAATGCCAGTGATCTACTTGTTGTTATGGCAACCCTAGGAAAGGAAGAAGGCTTTTATGCAGGGGCGTTTGAAACTAAGCACCAACAGCCTGTTTGTCAAAGAGCAGTATTACATCACAGATTACAGCATTCGTGAAACAATTTTTTTCTGATACAGCACAAACACACCTGGTACTTAGACTAATGTAAATGGAACTGGACAGATCGATCACTGCTACTGCTAATGCCTGATGCAAAAGTAAGAGGGTGAAGCATTCAGTTGATGATGGGGAGGGTGCAGAAGTTGAAGTGAGCATATAAATGAAAAGGTGAAACAGGCAAAATGAATCCAGAGTCTCCACAGCAATTTAGTTGACTGACATAAGACATCAGCTTCCTCTAACAGAACGCTGCTATGTCCACAGTAGTGAAAGATACTTGAAGATCAACAGTGTTGGCCATTAGTTGCACCAGTTTAACTGTCAGTGTTTAACTGGTTTAACTACCAAAGCTAACTGGAGGATTTTCTTTCAAGTTTACCTCAGGCAATCCCATGGGTTTCATCAGCGTTTGACAGCATCTCCAATAGCACAGCTGTTAGTGGAGTGAACTTGCCCTTATCCAAACATTAATGATTTTATCTTTGTCTGACCTGTATGGAAAGGGGGAACAGTTCTGGTGCAAATAGAGACTCTGGGTACCAAGATCCCTTTCAAAGCTTTCAACATCCACTCTGCCAGCTGAAGTCTGTGGGAGCTTTGGAAGCTCAACAGCTCTGAGATTCAGAGGTAAACTGACTTGCATCCAACTCGTGTCTCTGATACTGGCCCAAGGGAAGTGCCAGGAAGGAGAAGTCAGCATTGACAAATGTGTAGAACTGCTTCTTTCATCAGCAGCCAAAACTGATGCCAGTTTTAAGTGCCATAATTTTGGACTCAAAGGCTAGAGATAATGTTCAAAGCCATTTGTATCCTAATGAAATTACTCCTGTTCAAGTCAGTCATTTAGAATGGAAGGCATCTGTTTGGGACTCTAAGTCTTGAGGTGCTAATGCTTTGACAGTTGTGATATTTTGGATCATCTGGGGTATTTTTACATTTTTCTTATAACTGATAATAGGGATTTGTGCAGTTCCTGAAGGTTAAAAGTTTCAGTAATCTCTCAGGTAGGGTCTCTTCTCACTAATCCATTTTGCAAAGGCTTGGAAATTAAATCCTAGTGCAAGTTGAACTGAGTGTAAATTCCATGGTTTCAGAAGATCCAGTATTTTATCCATAGCTTGTATTAGTTGCTGTGTTAAAGCATGTAGAGTGCCTGCTTGCTACATGTTCTGAGAATGTATGTTTTGGACAGAGAAAATAAAGTAACTGCATTTAAAGCACACATTTAAATTTAAACCTGGAGGTGATCTTGCCTAGAATGTTTTCATTCCTTTTTGGGTGTGAAGAGTTATTCTTCTTTCTTGTCTTCTCTCTCTCTCTCTCTCTAAACTAGCGTATAATTCACTGATTGCTCTGTGCCTGATATACAAGAACTCAATTTAAACCAAATGTTTTGAAAAGAAGTTCAGAGAGCACCTTACTTTACCAGCAGGAGACAGCTCTCTGTCTTGATATCTTCATCATATTAGTGTATTTCAATTCTCACAGTAATACGAACAATTTCTTAATTGTTCTCTTTTTCTCTCCCTCTCTCTCTCCTTCATTGCAGTGTAAGAGTTCATTTCTGCCTGTATGGTGAAAAAAATGCCAATGAAACCAGTGCTGCTATCCATTTATATGTATTGTTCCTTCTTGTGGCATGAATGGTGGAATTTGTGTGACATTGTAGTCAATTCAGAAAAACTGCTGCTTGAGTAACTCCAAATTTGTCTGCTGCGGGGATGTTGCCCAGCTGCTTGTTTTTAATTGCTTCCTCAGGAAGGAAAAGAAAAAGAGAACTAAAATATTTCTAACTGGTAGATTAGTCCAGACATATCTTAAAAATGCAGCTTTTAGTAGGGTTCTGCTGTGTTACTTCCAATGACTCTTGTGATTATATTTTAGTCACCTGTCTCCTTTTTCACTTATTGCCAAAAGTATCATCCCCAGAGCAGAGTGAGCTGTCTCATCCATTTTAATCTGCTGTTTGGCTTAAACCCCTGACAAAATCAGATTTACCTGAAGACATTCTACTGTGGGGTGGTGTAGTGGAGGTATGGGTCTGTGCTGTGTCCTGTTGGTTTTGCTGCAAGGTTGGCAATCTCCGGCCCAAGTGGTAACAAGTGTCCGTTAATTCTTCAGATGCTATAGATGTTTGCTTAATAAACATAATGGAAGCCTTCAAGGGGCTTGGAAGTGACTCCACTGTTACCACAGGAGAGGGCCTTATATCTAGTTTCAGGAACCAAATAAGGTTTTTAAGTCATAGCTACATAATAGATGAGGAGTCCTTTAG